AAGAAATCAAATCTATATAAAGAACATTGGAAAAAAATGAGTTGAAAATAATCTCATTTGTGGAGTAATACGATTTCCTCCTAGTCCATTACGTTCTCTTTGAGCACAATACCCTGATGCTTCACATGTACATGCATGTTTATATAAATGAGCCATTCGCCTAAGTAATTCAGCGAACTTAACACTAAGCGAACATCATCTTATAAAGAATGAGTGGGAGTTAGCCAGGCAAACGGGGATGAGTGGGAACAAAGGCCTGAAATAGCATGGAATGTGCAGGGAATTGTACCCGGATACAAGGCAGGAAGTGGAGAAAGTCTGATCATGGAGTCTTAACTGACATTTTAAGGTTGAGTGAGTCTGTGTATACATATTGAAAATAAGACTATAAGAAAACTTGAAAGTAGCAAGGCAGTTAAAAATCCATAGGACAGAGCAGCATTATCCATAATAGACAAAAGGTGGAAACTGTCCAAATGTCCATCAGCTGATGAATGGATAAACAAAATATGGTATGTACACACAGTGGAATATTATTCCACCAAGAAAAGAATGAAATACTGATACATGCCACAACGTGGAAGATCCTTGACAACATTATGCTGAGTGAAAGAAAAGGACAAATACTGTATAATCCCTCTCACACATTTAGAATAGGCAGATGCTCAGAGACAAAAATTTATTAGTGGTTACCAGGGGTTGGGGGAGACGGGAGTGGGAGTTATAACTGAAAAGGTACCGAATTTGTTTGGGGTGTTGGCAAACTTTTGGAAATGGATACTGCTGATGTTGGTAGCACAACATAATAAATGCAATTAATGTCACTGAATGGTACACTTAAAAATGGTTAAAATGGCCAACTTTTTATTATATATATTTTACCACAATAAAATTTAAAGACATAAATTATACCTTAGAAATAATTTAAAAAAAACAAAAGTTGGAGGACCACTGGCCTATTCTACCTAGGCCGCCAGCATTCAATAAAAAGGAAGATCCTGCCTGGGTGGTGTAGTGGTTAAGTGCTATGGCTGCTAACCAAATTGACTCGACGGCAACGGGTTTAGTTTTTTTTATTGGTTATCCAAAGCACATCAGTGTGGCTACCTGCATAACCTCATCTGGATAGATGTGATCACCAATGTTCCTTACGTGTATTCTCTTTCTTGGAGCCCTGGTGGTGCAGTGGTTAAGAGCTCAGCTGCTAACCAAAAGGTCAGCAGTTCAAATCCACCAGCCACTCCTTGGAAACCCTACGGGGCAGTTCTACTCTGTCCTATAGGGTCGCTATGAGTCAGAATCGACTCAACAGCAACGGATTTTTATTCTCTTGCTCAAAAATAACTTATCAAAAATTATCCGAGTGTATCAAATGTGCTTATACAGGCATAGCAAATGGATCCCAAATCTCTAGGCCCCAAAAGAAACGGCAAAAAGGAGACTGAATATCCGGCACTTCATTAGGCCAGGTTTTCTATTCCCACTAAAGAAATTCTCTGCTCCAAGTACTGAAAGGAATATTTAGCTGCCTCACTCAAAGCAAGATAATAAAAGAATGTGCATGACTCATGTGGATATAGTGACTTTACTTAGTTATTGCTAACTTCCCCTTTTCACCCCCACACATAATGGACGTGTCATTTGTTCATTTCCTCATGGAACATTCAATGAAAGAATTTTAAAATTCATGGACTTCATAAATACTTAACAATCTACTATATGCCAGGCACTGTTTTAGGGTCTGGGGATAAAATGATGAATGGAGTAGAGGTCTCCTTGCTTGGAGTTCGTATTCTAGTGAGACGGTCAACACACAAGCCAACAAAGGTAGCTTTGGGTAGTAGCATGAAGGAAGTGAAACACGGAAATTCGATAAAGTGATGGGGTTGGAAAATGGGGAGACTTTAGTTGGTGTGGTCAGGGAAGGCCTGAGAGAAGGTAAGGCCAGAGAGAGGTGGAGAGTGGCTGGCTTTCAGGCTTGAAAGGTAGGCAGCGGCTAGATCTTGCAGGGCCTTATAAGCCACAGTGTGGGTGGGCAGATCCCACTGAGTTGTAACTGCAAGCCTGCTGTAATCTCACTGCTTTTGAAGAAGTTAATCCTTTTTGTGCTAGATCTACTGAGAAGGGAGCCTTTTCATAATTTGTCTTCCTGGAGGGGACTCCTGTTCCTAATTTGAGGAAGGATGCCAGTGCGCCTCCGATGAAAACTTGGGTTTCATTGTTAAGTGAAACGGGGAGCCAATGAAAAGTCTGAAGCAGAAGAATGACAAAATCTGGCTTGTGTTTTAAAAATATACTTAGGCAACATTACGGAGAGTGGTTGTATAATGACAAGAAAAACAAAAAAAACCAAACCCATTGCCTTCGAGTCGATTCTCATAGCGACCCTATAGGACAGATTAGAACTGCCCCATAGGGTTTCCAAGGAGCGCCTGGTGGATTTGAACTGCTGACCTTTTTCGTTAGCAGCTGAACTCTTAATTAACCACTATACCACCAGGGTTTCCATATAATGACAAGAGTGGAATAATGATCAAAATAACAATCATAGCTAATAAAAATGTAGTAAAATACAACAAGAGGGATCCTGGCTAGTTGTATATTTGAACTTAAAATAAGTTCAAATACATTTATATTCCCCAAAGGCAATTCTCTGGCACACTGAAAGCTAACCCATTACTTTACTGTGAACAGTGAAACCAGTGTTAAGCCTGGGAAATAACTCCTTTATACCTTAGCTCCAGAGTCAGCTAAGCAGGGAGGTTCATTTCCATTTGTAAAGTTCTAGTGCCACCACTTGACCTTATCCATTCCTTGCACATTTATACCCAAGAACACAATTACAGTATCTACTTGAGATTTCTGTCTTAGAATTGGTCTTCTTCAGGTTCAATCACTCAAATATCAAAGAAATATAAACATGAATAGTGAGGTACCATTTTCAGCTATCAAATTAGCAAAAGCTTTTTAAAAAATGAGATTGCTGGATTGGGGAGGCTACAGTAGACACTCAAAATGTTGCTGGCGGGAATGGACAATATGTTGTATGAGTTAGTTTCCTTGGACTCCTGGTGACCTTATCTATATATACCAGAAGGACACATTGCCTGGTCCTGTGCCGTCTTCATGATCACTGGTATTTTTGAGTCCACTGTTGCGGCTGTTGTGTCAGGCCATCTCCTTGAAGGCTTCCCTCATTTTCACTGACCTTCTGCTTTACCAGACATGATGTCCTTTTCTAGTGATTGGTCTCTCCTGATAGGGTGTCCAAAGTAAGTGGGCCAAAGTCTCATCATCCTGGTTTCTTACTGTATTTCATTGATCTGTCGTTAATTTGCTGGTACCAAAATGATTTAATTATTGAGAGTTTAAACAAGGTTTTAACATTTGGCTAGGCTAATTCTCCCTCATTACTCCTGTTCTCCTGACTTATTCTGGCTATTCTTATTTATTTTTCTATATGAACTTTACAAGAAGTTTGTCTAAGGCCTAAGGAAATAAATAATTACTGGGACTATGCTGTAAATATAGGCCAAATCCCATTAAAAAAAATACCACTGATAAATTAAGCTATTTGCATTTAAAAAGTCATTATTATTGAGAAACATTTAGCATAATAAAAATTTGCAAAGCACAAAATAATGTTATAAAAACTTGTAGTTAGCTGTATTACCTATGCTATAACAACAGCTAGCACTTTTAGGCACTTACAACTACTTTGTTAAATGCATTTTATGAACTGTGGTTAAGGTCACTAGAAGGTAGGTCCTTGTTTTACAGATGAGGGAGTTAAGGCTTGTTGCTTTTGTCAGCTGCTGTTGAATCAGACCCGGACTCATGACAACCCCATGCACAACGGAACGAAACACTGCCCAGTCCTGTGCCATCCCTGTGATAGGTTATGGATTGGGCCGTGTCATCCATAGGGTTTTCAATGGCTGATTTTCAGAAGTAGATTGCCAGGCCTTTCTTCCTAGTCCATTTTAGTATGGAAGCTCCACTGAAAGTTCAGCATCGGGGCAGCACACAAGCCCAGACAGGCTGAATGACTTGTACAGGATCACACAGCTAGTGAGACAGCCAGAATTCAAATCCAGACTTGTTTTACTGTAACACCCAGGTTTTTAATCACTATGCTGCACTGAGGAAACCCTGGTGGCATAGTGGTTAAGAGCTAATGCTGCTAACCTAACGGTCGGAAGTTCTAATGCACCAGGTGGCTCCTTGGAAACCCTGTGGGGCAGTTTTACTCTGTCCTGTAGTGTCACTATGAGTCAGAATCGACTCGACAGCAACGGGTTTTTGGTTTATGCTACACTGAGGCTTTTGAACAGAAATAGTATTTTTCTCAACTGGCAAAACAAAGGCAAACTAATTCCAGTAACATCAAATTCAGTTTACTTATGTTATTCACCAGTACAGCAAAAGACTAAAGAGGCAGAATAGTACACGTCATGTAAAGTCTGTGTGCTGGATCCCGGCTCCTCCCTTGTCCTTCTTGGTCATTCTCCAAACCTGGGGGGACTTAAGCCTGCAGTCAACACTCACCAGCCTCCCAGATGGCTTCCTGTCTGGTTCTGCCGTGTCTGGGCAATGGCACAAGAATTAGAGGGCTGGACAAAGTGAAGAGCTAATTTTCTCTTTTGGTGGTGGCTGGGCAGTGGCAGCAGTAGCTGAGGATGACGGAGGGTCCTTTGGGCCACACGGGTGCAAGTGTTCAGCAGCATCAGTGGGAGCAGACGCCCAGGCTTCCATGGAGCAGCAGTGCACCCAACAGCATCTCCAATAGCAGAGCAGCAGATGTGGGCTTGTGGCTCTGACCCAGGGGCAGCAGCAGCTTCCTGATCTTTGGCTAAAAGCCCCTCTCCCTTTAGCTTCTCTAGCATCTCTCTCTTTTGCTCCTTCAGTCCTCTTAACACCTTTATAACCAATTTCTAGCATTAAATCCTTCTTTGGTTGAAATATCTAGAGTAGTTGCTATTTTCCTGACTGGACACTGAGTGATATGATTTAGGGTAACATTAAAAAGAGTGTTATTTTTATATATGAAAGAAATACGATATAAGAAGTTGGTTTTCTTGGGTGGGGAGCAAAATATTTTGCATTTTCTTTCCTTCGTATTTGTGCAAACAAATGACAGTCTAAATAAATTATACAAGTCGCTGTGGCAAAAAAAAAATCTGATTTATTAATTCAGGACATGAGTTCCATATGGGGCAAAATTACGCTACTATTAAGCATCTTAGTTATTACTGTGGGATAACATTTAACAAACACCTGTATAACACAGAGCACAAAACAATTTTAAAGCCATAATAAATATGTCAGTTAGCAGCAGACTCCAAACTTCCTCTTGACCTTGAAAAAGGTTTGATGATTTACTATAATCCACTAAGAAACATCTAAATGGGAAGAAACACAGAGGTTTCCATAAGTGTCACTTAGTTTCCTTAGAAAAAGAAAATGAGCAGCTTAAACTACAGAACTTAAGATTTAACTGTATTGATAAAAATCTACATATAAAATTACGTGGCACTTTTGACAGTTATGACTAGAGGGAAAACTACATTTTCAGGGCCACAAAGTTTCTCCTAAACCAATATTATCCCTTATTGAAAAGGTAATTAATCACATACCACTGAGTACAACAGATTGAGGTTAATGTTGGAAGTTATTAATAGAAGTTAGCAGAAGGTAGGCTTATTTTGGTCAGTCACAAAAGGACCAATATTGTATGATTCCACTTATATGAAATATCTAGACTATACAAGTTAATAGGGACCAAAGTTTACTGGTGGTTCCTAAGGGTGGACAGGAGGGAAGGGGAGGGGAACTTATTGCCTGGAAGGTACTGAGCTTCTGTTAAGGGTGAAGGAAAAATTCAGAAACAGATAGTGGTGACCATTGCACAATATGATGAATGTAATTAATGCCAATTAATTGTACATGTAAAAAGTGTTGAATTGGCAAGTGTTCTGTTACATATATATTTACCATACACACACAAAATGTAGGCTTACTTCAATACGCCTGATCTGAACCAAAGGAGGCAAAAAAACGACAATACTTAGATTTACTAAAACTACCAATACATGATCAAAGTAAAAATTTTACTTTATATTTATGTTCAAAATAGGAGTAAAAGTAATGTAAGTGTATATTCTATATATGAAAACTTTTGGAAGGATGCATATACCAAAATGTTAACAGCGATCCTATCTTGGGTAGTGAGATTTTAAGAAATTAGTTTCTTTTTTTGTTCTTTTATATTTCTCTTTTTTCTGTAATGAACATATATGTCTCAGGTCATTAGAAAGGGGAATAAATGTAATTAATACCCAAGCAAGATATTAATTAGTGCCTTTTAAAATTTAGTTTTTCACTTGCTTCAGTATTAAAAATGAGACTTTAATGAGGAATTGTAATGTGGAAAAGCATCTGAGACCATATGGTCCAGGCAGGGACAGATTATCTAATAAGCAAGGTACACACGGGCTTAATTGCGCTTACTTACTAATCTGTAGAGCACAATTTCACCTGTCTTTCATCATGTGGTGACACCCATGTGAGTTAGTAAGTAAACACAAGTAAGCCCGTGCATACTTTGCTTACTGGTTAATCCACTCCTGGGTCCAGGTATGAAAACGAAACCTAACATCAGTCATATGACCTACTTGAGGTCACATGACTTGCCCAAGGGCACACTACTGCTTAGTGGTAGAGCTGAGATTCAAACCATGGTCTCAATCTGGTCTAGGCTTCTCTTATACAATAAAGAAAAATTTTAAACATATGCACTCACACATTGAAAAATATATTCATCTCCAAAATACCAGAAAAGGCTGGGTCAATTTTAAGACCCTTGAAACGTACGTGGTGTCAGGTCATAAACCTACATAACAATCAGCCAGGTTTACCTTTAGAATGTCACAGGGAGCAGCGCCTGGGGGCACAGGTTTCCCACAGTGCTTTGAGTATTCCATTATAAAGACTGAAGCTTCATCTAAACTATGAAATCAAAGAGAAACAGAGAGGCACAAGGAAATGTTGGGGGTGGCAAAGTATGTTCACCTCCTTGACTGTGGTGATGGCTTCACAGTGTATACATACTTATCAACTTGTATACTTAAATAGTATGTGCTGCTTATTATGTACGTATCAGTTATACCTCAAAAACAATACCGGTTCATCAATGACAGTAGGCAATTATGGCTGAATCACAGATGATAACCAAGAAGAAGAAATCCATGGTGGAGAGGTCAGCACAGTCAGACCAAAGGTAGGGATGGGCCCAGAAAATCCTTCAGTCCTCACTGGGCTTCCTTCTCCTTATCATTTTCCATACCTACCCTCCTAGCCCCATTCCATGAAGCTTACTGCTTCTAAAGTGGGAGTGCTGGAAAATTAGATAACCAAGCTCAGCAAACATTGTATGTTACATGTCATGGTTTGAATTATGTCCCCCCCCAAAATGTGTGTATCAGTTTGGCTGGGCCATGATTCCCAGAATTGTGTGGTTGGCCTCCATTTTGTGATTATAATTTTATGTTAAAGAGGATTAGGGTGGGATTGTAACATCACCCTTACCCAGGTCACATCCCTGATCCAATGTAAAGGGAGTTTCCCTGGGGTGTGGCCTGCACCACCTTTTATCTCTCAAGAGATAAAAAGGAAAAGGATGCCAGCAGAGAATGGGGGACCTCACACCACCAAGAAAGCAGTGCTGGGAGCAGAGCGCGTCCTTTGGACCCGAGGTTCCTGTGCAGAGAAGCTCCTAGTCCGGGAGAAGGCTGATGATGACAAGGACCTTCCTCCAGAGCCGACAGAGGGAGAAAGCCTTGCCCTGGAGCTGACGCCCTGAATTTGGACTTGTAGCCTACTAGACTGTGAGAGAATAAACTTCTTGTTAAAGCCATCCACTTGTGGTGTTTCTGTCGGAGCAGCAATAGATGGCTAAGATATTACATAAAGCCATCAATTCTCTCAGGCGTCTAAGGAATAAAGCTAGAATTTAGAGTTTTAGAGCAGGACTGTGAGACGCCTATTTTGAGGGTTCAGACTGTTTAATTGTCTGTTTCCAAGTTCATTTTCCAAGAACTGAGTTAGAAGACAACCAACCTCTGGGTGTGTGCAGTAATGTTATAGCTTCATATTTAGAGACTTTAATTACAACTGAATTGTTCGATATTTTCCAAAAACATAAAGATAAATTTTTAGGAAACTCTACAGCAGTTAAGTTTTTTTTCTAAATTAACTTACCTTAACTCTTTTGCCAAATAGTTTACTAGTTCAGTGATACTGTTGGTATTCATCATGTGCAATTTCAACACTTGAAAGTATTTTGTCTTTGCCAAAATTCCGAACTCTTTCTTATTTATGATGTTATTTAGAATCAAACTTCTAATCTATAGAATGACAGACATCATGATATTAAAAATATGTTAGATTCCAGCTGTATTCAATACTGAAACATTTCTGATAATCAGAAGTTAAACTATCATTGCATTGTGACAAAGCGTCCTTTTTATGGGAGTGGGCATAGCGGAAGGGGAACCACTTTGGCCCATTTCAGGATACTGTAAACAAATAAAAAGTAGTTATTGTTACATACTTTGGGACTTTTTATGAGGAAGAAAATCTGCTTATAACATTTAAGCCTACAAATTTTTCACGAAGCACAGTTTAAAGCGTACACCCTAAGTTCTGATATGTAGTGCTGGCATTAATTTTCTAGGTAGTTTGCAATTAGGATTTCGATTTCTCTAAGAGCTGATCAGCAGATAATTCAAAGATATCCTGATGACTGGATTTTTTGGAGAAGGGGTGCTATTTGTGCAATTAATTTCCAGTTTTCTGGCACTGTGGTTAGAGTATGGGCTGTTGTACCATCTGTAGTTGCTCATCCAAACAACACACACTCACTGAGTGTCTTTATGCAGCGGGCACAATGCTAGGCCCTGAGGATACAGTACTGAACAAGGCAGCCAGGGTCCCTGCCTTTTGAAAAATTTATTCAGGTTTTAAAAAAGCAAAATAATTTAATAAATTAACAAACAGCCAGAGATACTAACTTTCAACAAGGAGTACAGACCAGCTTATTCTTGATTTGGGAAAAATTATCACCTTCCAATTTAAAATTTTTCATAGCAAAAAGGAGATGAAATTGCCTCTTACTTGATGTGAAAATCCTGCTAACTGGCCAGTATTCATATGCTCCTCTAATTGCTGTAAAATGATCTGAGGATTGCAGGAGCCCAGAAAGTTCTGGAGAAAAAGCAGAACATGATTAACAGAAAAGTATTATTACTACTAATTTTTTATATGTCTGTTAAGATTTTCATTTTAAAATTTAAAATATCAAGTATTTCTAATGGAGGAAAAATATCTATATCAACAGAAATTAGTGAAATAAGAAAAAAAGCATTTTACCAATACTTATTCCAACCACAAAAGCTGTTTATCAGGCATTCTGATGTTCTAAGGGCCAAAATGAACCTATTTAAATACTGAAACCATCTTTGAAAACCACCAGTGAATGAGGTTATGCATATAGTCAAGGAAAAAAGTAAGTCAAAGACAAGCACAGACGGCTTTGAAATAAATGCAACGAACAGATCAAAAGACAAATATACAAATATCCACCAAAAAATCAAACCCGTTGCCGTTGAGTTGATTCCGACTCATAGCAACCCTATAGGGCAGAGTAGAGCTGTCCCATAAGGTTTCCAAGGAGCGGCTGGTGGATTCGAACTGCTGATCTTTTGGTTAGGAGCCATAGCTCTTAACCACTGCACCACCAGGGCTCCAATACACAAATATGTGTTCATTTACATAGCTCTCTATCTTCTGACTTATCTACCTACGGGGTAATAACTAAAATATTTCAAATGCTTTTCTCCACGTGTTCTATATTATAAAGGAAATGAAGGCAAAAACAGAAAACCCATTGCTGTTAAGTAGATTCCAACTCATAGTTGGCCCTATAGGATAGAGCAGAACTGCCCCATAGGGTTTTCAAGACTGCATTCTTTACAGAAGCAGATCACCACATCCTTTTTCCACACAGCGGCAAGTGGGTGCAAACCGCTAACCTTTTGGTTAGCAGCCAAGCTTAACCACTGTGCTACCAGGGACTCCTTTAAATGAGGGTTACCCATTGCCATTGAGTCGATTCTGAATCAAGCGACCCTATAGGACAGAGTAGAAACGCCCCATAGGGTCTCTAAGGAGCGGCTGGTGGATCTGAACTGCCGACCTTTTGTTAGCAGCCGAACTCTTAACCACTGTGCCACCAGGGCTCACTACTCATAAAATCTGACTCTGCCCCCACCCCATTATCTCTCACATCCAATCACTAACTCAAGCTTCCTTCCTTTGTGGTCTTATTCATGTAGACCATTTGCACTGCCACCACCATACTTTAGATACTTACCTCTTCCAGTTTCCCCTGCCTGCTCACAAGGTTGTTATGTAAGCATCAGGTGAGATAAAATCCCATACAAATGCAATAGCTCCCCAATGGGTTTCCCTCCTTGCCACCTCTCTCCTCAGATCCTACATGGCTTATTCTAAAATACTACCGTGATCATTTCACTATACTCTTCAAAGAATATCCCTTGCTTCCCACTGATAAAAAGTCAAGCTCAAACTTCTCTTAAGGCACCCCTCGGTGGACCTTAATTTACCTTTCAGTTTCACCTCCCACTAAGCTCCTACACACACCCCACCCACCCATACTGATGTGCTCATGCTTTACAGGCCTGGTGAAAAGAAAAGACAGCCTCTGTGAACCAAAACCAAACTCTCTGCCATCGAGTCTACTCCAACCCATAGCGACCCTACAGAACAGAGTAGACCTTCCCCATAGAGTTTCCAAGGAGTGGCTGCTGGATTCAAATTGTCGATTTTTTGGTTAGCAGCCGTAGCACTTAACCACTGTGCCACCAGGGCCCCAATATGAGGCCTTCTGTTTCTCTGGTAGCCCTGGAGGAATAATTTACAAGATACCTTAATTTGCTGGTGTCTTTTTTCTGAGTGGGGCATGAGCATGAGACAGGCCAACGCAAAAGCTGGAAGCTCTAGCTGGACATACTGCCTGGCAACGCCGATCATGTCGAGGTCATCTGAAACTGGACATCTTCAAGAAAGCACATGAGCTAGTTAAGAACCTGCCAGGATCACTAGATTACATTGGCCTTCATAGCTTGCCACAGTTGTTACCTTTCCAGGCTTTCAACAATTTTAAACACTAAAGTGCTGAAGCACGGCATATGCTTAGTAACGAGTAAATCAAGTCTTTCATGGAATCTTCATGGAATAATGGTCTATCTAAAGGAACACGGGTCACTATATGCTACCATGATTATGTCTGAAAGCCTACTGTTAGGTACCGTGGAGTCTGTTCTGAACTATAGTGACCTTATGTACAACAGAATGAAACACTGCCTGGTCCGGCACCATCCTCACAATCATTGCTATGTTTTAGCCCATCGTTGCAGCCGCTGTGTCAATCCATCTTGTTAAAAATATTCCCTCTTTTTCACTGACTGTCTACTTTACCAATCATGATGTCCTTCTCCAGGGACTGGTCCCTCCTGATAACATGCCCAAAGTATGTGAGATGAAGTCTCACTATCCTCGATTCTAAGGAGCATTCTGGCTGTATTTCTTCCAAGACAGATAGGTTCGCTCCTCTGGCAGTCCATATATATTCAATATTGTTTGCCAACACCATAACTCAAAGGCATCAGTTCTTCTTCGGTCTTCTCTATTCCTTGTCCAGTTTTCACATGCGTATGAGGCGACTGAAAATCTACACATTGAAAGCCTATACTTGCCTACAGATAAATTCTCAGAAGACTCAAATCAAAATCTATAAGACCACATCGCGTGATTTAGGGTAATCACAAAGTATACCCTACATTAAAATTCGGTACTAATTTTAGACAACATCTATTAAATATGTTTACTAGTTGTACTGCACTTAGAAAACAGACATTGTAAAAATAATAGATATTTTATTATAAAAACAAGTGGGATGTTTAGCTTCCCAACAAAAGGAATTGCTCATAAGAGATGTTTATTAGAAAGGATTTTTATAAGCAACACATTGTATATTTTTGGTAGAAAAACAAATATGTTACTTACTCTAAGACGGCGACGAGACTCTCACAACAATCTGATAACTGATTTGGACTTAAAGGGCAAGAGGCTGAGGATAAAAAACAACAATGATATACACACACTTACACAGTATAAAACGATATTGTCAGTGTTTCACAGGACAAAAAAAAAAATACCTGAAAGTAGTGGTATCTGTATCACACGCTGCCACGCTTTGCTAAAGTAAGGAACCTGTGGAGATCAATGCATTCATGAATTCATGTCTGAGAGACTAAGAACACTCTTCATTTTCCAGGCACAGAACTATACATGTAAAGCTCACATTCTGGATGCTAAGACCAAAGTCGTAAATCGGTATCTCCTTGTGAGAGGCCATTAAGATGCTAGGATAATGTTCCTTATAATTGTGTATCTCAGGATCTTATTATAAAATCCTGGCTGATTCATTATTGTTCCATTTGGCAAAAACGGTTAGAACCCAACTTAGAAACCAGAATTTACACAAGCCTGTTATGTGCCAGACACTGTGCTAGGGCTACAAGAAGGGGAAAGAGGACAAGAGAAAGAATCTGAATAAGATGAGTAGGTTAAGCTACATTTCCATCAATTAGAGGAATGGTTAAGAAAGCTACAGGACATCTGTATTATGGAGGTTAATGTAAGAGGTGAAAATAACGAGATACTTCCAAAGAGTTACCATATGACCCAGCAATTCCTACCTCTAGGTATGCCCCCAAGAAGTGAAAACCTATGTCCACACAAACACTTGTACACGAACGTTCAGAGCCAATGAATGGTTCTTACTCATAATAGCTAAAATGTGAAAACAACTCAATGTTCATCAGCTGAAGAACAGATAAAGAAAACGTGGTACATCCATAAAATTGAATACTGTTCAGCCATAAAAGGAATGAAGTTCTCACACATGCCATGTCCCGGGTGACCCTTGAAAACGTGATGCTGAGTGAAAAAAGCTAGTCATAAAAGGCCACACCTCGTATGAGTGCACTTCTGTGAAATGTCCAGAAAAGGCAAATACACACAGATCAGTAGTTGCCAGGGGCTGGAGGTAGGGAAGAACGGGGAGTGACTGCTAATGGGTTTGAGGTTTCTTTTTGGGGTCATGAAAATGTTCCCAAATCCACTGTGATGATGGTTGAACAACCACGTGAACAGACTAAAAACCACTGAATTGTGTATTTTAAAAGGGTGAATTTTATGATATGTGAATTATATCTCAATTTTAAAAAGTGAGATAGATCTATATGTGCTGATATAAAACAATCTCCAAGATACTATTATCACATGAAAAACATTTTGTTTAGAATGTGACTGCATTTATATATACAAAAACGTGTGTGTGTGTGTGTGTGTGTGTGTGTGTGTGTGTGTGTGTGTGTGTATGTGTACAAGCATATATGCTTGTATGTTAATAGGAAAACTCTAGAAGGATACATAAGAAATTGTAAGCAGTGGTTACCTCTGGGGAGATTTTCATGTTTTATGCAGTATACTTCCATACTGTCATAATTTATTCAACTAAGGATAAATCATGCATTTAAATACAATACATATGTATTACAACGACTGTGCGTGTGTAGCTTGTGAAATTTAAAGTCTTGAAGGTCTCTGACTTTAAAGATCTTCAAAGTTTAAGAGGGGCAGTCCAACATGCAATTAAATAAACTGCACTGACAAATGTTATCGTTATGGAGACAAAGCGTTTTGGGAGCATAAGTGAAGCTGTGATCATTGAGGCCTGGAGACCTGGGGAGGTGAAGCCATCAAGGAGGTGAGTGTTCAGGGTCCACCACCACTCTAACGTAACATCAACCACCTGGGGCAGGTCATTCTGCTCTTTAATAAGCCTCTGTACCTCCCAGTCACAGGGCCAGAGAGTTTGAAGGTTAAATTCAACAAATTTGCTTAAAAAACCCACATACCTGCCATAAAGAATGGATGCTAGAGATGGCAGTTAACACCCTTCTTAGATAAGGAATCTGTAAAAAATAAAATGAAGAAGTGGTGAAAACCACAAAGACAGAAACCTCAATAAGAAATATCAGAGTCTTAAAGTTGCAAAAGAAGGTATTAGTAAAATTAATCTTTGGTGAGAACTGCTGGATAAGTTTGCTTACGAATTTGCAAATATCAAAAAAAGGCCAGGGAACCTTCCATTTTTTACATGCGATTTATGCCATTTTTTGAGTTTGTACTTCCTCTGGCCTAACACCAAGTTCTTTGAAGTTTGGCCTGAAGCCCACAAGAGTGAATGAGTTTTCAGCATCCATCTGTTCGATAACCAGTATCAATGCAAAATGCTGGGGGAATGCTGTGCGAGAGCCACGAAACAGACTGGGGTCTAGGGCACCGCGTCTGCCTTACCATGCTGAAGCCGAGGAGCTTCTGCAAGAGCCCGTTCCAGAGCTGCAGGTCATAGACGTTGTATTCTAAGCAAAGCTCTGTCACCAACCGCACAGCCTAAAGCCAAGCAGAAAGACATCACGCCACTGTGAGACAGCAGTGGTTCAAACCTCCTTTGAGAAAGGGCTGGCAGCTTACTGTAAAATATGCTGATAATCTAGGTGTTTCTAATGCCTAACTTCAAAGAAAGCCCTCATCTCTCTAATGGAAGAAAAAAGAAAAAGAGGGATGATTTTTTTCTTGTCATCATGAATTCCCAATCAGCATCTTAGACTTTCCCCCTTTTCTTCCTTTTCTCCAAGTATAATTTGCCTTTTGACTCCACACATCCTCCCCACAGAGGGCTAAATTTCCATAGGCAGCCAGGAGGAAGAGAAACAACACCCCTTCCTATATAGAACCACCAGCACCCCTACCAGTTGCTGTGCAATCAGTTCTGACTCATGGCGACCCCATGTGTGTCAGAGTAGAACTGTGCTCCACAGGGTTTTTGATGGCTAATCTTTTGGAAGCAGATTGCCAGGACTTTCTTCTGACACACCTCTGGGTAGACTCAAACCTACAACCTTTTGGTTTGCAGCTGCGTGCTTACCCATTTGTACCACCCAGGGATTCCCTACACAGGATAGCCAGTCTCTTCTCCCTATCTAGATTAAGATATGGCAGGCCCCGGGGAAGGGATTATCAAAGTGCTCTCTCTTGTACATGAGGATGACTTTTGGCCTCAGGCTTTAAGGAAGAGAGTTAAGGGACCTTCCAAGTTGCCTTATCCACCAGCCAGGAAAGGAAAGTAGCCTTGTTCAGGGACCATGAGTTTCTCTGCTTGTGTCTTTCAGAAATCTGAGCATTACTGTGGGCAACTGAGCAAACACAAGGGAGTCTGTGAAGCTGGACGCCACCACTGGATAGCTTGGGGTACGTACCATGGATTCGTGGCTATGGTTTTTCCACAGACCCTTAATCATTCCTTCTTTGGGGCTGTTGCAAAACAATTCATACGTGATGGGGATATTCAGAGTCTCAAATGATGCCAGAAAGGTTATACACTTCAAATACGACCTGGAAAACAACAGGCATTTACAGGAATCATTCTCACAGGTGACATTTCCATTTCAAATGCAAGATACCAGGTGAAGATATTAGGCCAGTTTGTCGTTAAAAGTCCACTTTGGGTTTCTAAATATTGAATACTGTATTAAAAAGAAATTAATTTGAGCAAGATGAAGGAAACATTCAGCTTCTAAATGTCCCAGTGAAAACAAGATGTTCTCAATGGTCTATTTCCCCTTTGCAAAATTTCAAGGATATTCCAGGCAACAAAACTATATATATACAGACTCTCCAATGCCTCTTACGAATTAAGGGGCTTCAAAGTTACAGTTCCCCAAAATGACCTGTTTCCTATTTCTTAATATAATTTTTCTTTCAAACTTCAATGACGTCACAGTTTTATCGCTCACCAGTACCACATAGTAATAGTGAGCATTTCATACACATCTTAATAAAGCTTTAAAATTCTACTTACTTCACTTCTTCAATTGGTTTTTTGAAGAGAGACTCTACAGTTTGCTTGTCAGCCAAATACAGGAGACACTGAAGAGCCCGTGTTCTATGGGCAAAAGTTAACTGACGTGTACCTAAAGTCTGTAAAAGCAGAAAGGTATGGGGTTACAGCCTGCGATGTGGGTGGGTACATGGGTTTTACCTTAGGTAACATGGCAGCATGAAATCTGAATGGAGACCTTTTTTAAAAAAAATTAAATTCAGTTTCTGCCCTCAAGGAAGAATAGCAGTTCTCAAGGTGGGGTCCATGGATCCGTCTGGGGGAGAACAGGTACCCCTGTGGCCCTTTGGTGGGGAGGGTCAAAACTATCTTCATCATCATAATAATAAAACCACCAGTTGCCCTCAGGTCGATTCCAACTCATGGCAACTCCATGTGTGTCAGAGTAGAACTGCTCCATGGGGTTTTCAATGCTTGATTTTAGATCACCAGGCCTTTCTTCCAAGGTGCCTCTAGGTGGACTCAAACCTCCAGCCTTTTGGTGAGCAGCTGAGCATGTCAACCGTTTGTACCACCCAAGGACTCCTTCATAATAACACTAAGATGTACTTTCCTTTTTCACTGTGTTAGTATTTGTACTGATCGTGCAAAAACAGTGGCAGGTGAGACTGCCAGCACCTAAGCATGAATCAAGGCAGTGGCAACGAAGGAGCCACTGTAGCCTCACCCGCATGCATGTGCAATATGAAGAACAAGACACCTTTACTTAAGAACGTTTTTGATGAAACGGTGATCATTAACTTTATTAAATCTCAACACTTGAATATATATACTATTAACATAAATTCACATTTGAATATATATTTGGGTGCATGTTAATATTAATTCACCTAAGTATATTTATCAACAGGGAGCCCAGGTGGCACAGTGGTTAAGCACTTGGCTGTTAACCAAAAGGTCAGTGGTTTGAATCCACAAGCCACTCCGTGAAGAAAGACATGGCAGTCTGCTTCTGGAAAGATTACAGCCTTGGAAACCCTATGGGGCAGTCCTACCCTGTCTTACAGGGTCACTATGGGTCGGAATGGACTTCACAGCAGAGGATGGTATGTATTAATATTCTGTGTGACACTGTGGGGTGTCCATAGGAAGCACTTATGCTGTATACCACAGAACAATGGCTTTGTCAGGGAAGAGCACTTGTAGGATTCTTGGAGTTATGAATTGAACCAGCCGCTTTTCATGAAACACCAGTTTTACTTGAAAGAATGATTGACAAATGAACTAAGGCTGTTTGGACGTGAGTATTTGGCAGACATTTTCTGGAAAATTTAAAAAAATGAGCCTGTCACATTATGGAGAACAACTGACAGTATTTACAGCCAATGATAACATTTGAGCTTTCAGGTGAAAATTATACTTCTGGAACACTTGTATCCTTCCCTGTAAGCCTGATAGCTTCTTAATTCTTACAAACTTTTCTGACGACGTCAGTGGTGAGATTAACCAATGTGGTTTTTTTTTATATTTTATAGTGAAATATGTCAGTATTTGGGAGATCTGCCTAACTCAGTGAACCAATATTTTCCAAAATTAGGCATGGGTAACAAATTCATTTAAAATACATGATAAACCTACAGATTTTAGTTTAACAGATTACTGAGATTCATTTATATGGTTTCAGATTCCACATTGCAACGACTTTTTTTGTTTACAAAACTTTCACCTGTCAAGTTGTGGTGAAATATCAAAGAATATCCATAATTATCCGAAAAGCTATTAAAATACTTCTCCCTTTCCCGACTGCATATCTGTATGAGACTATTCTTCATACCCTTCAACCAAAACAATCTATTGCAATGGATTGGATGCAGAAGCCGATACGAGAACCAGCTTTCTTCTGTAAGACAGATACAAAAGATGTTTACAGAAATATAAAACAACGTCATTTTCTCACCACATTTTTCAAAAAAATGTTAACATGGAACAGGGTTGTTATTGTTATTTTTAAATAGACTAACAAATATATTTTTTTAATTCTCAATTTTAATTTCCAGTATGGCAAATACTGGCAGATATAATCACATAAACAAAAGCTTCCGGTGGGCCTCAGTAATGCTGAAGAGTGTAAGGGGTTCCTGAGACCAAAAAGTTTGAGAACTGCTGGTGTGGAGGCAACCACAGACGTACAGATGAACAGGTGATACAGTAGATTCTATAAACGAGGGGAGCTCAGGGGCTAAGAGAGCAGAGATAAGCACCTAACTTAGTGTGGCCACACAGGAAGTGCCTCCTACAGGAAGTGAATGGGATCCAGAAGGAAGAATAATTGTTAGTTACTTGGGAGGAAGGAAGGAGAGAATTTGCGAGATGAGAATTGCAGGCGATGTGAACACATGCAAAAGCCTGAAGGGCAAAGAGGTTGCTGCCTTTAGAGGAAATTGAAGGTTTAGTGTAGCTAGTTTAGAGGGTGGGGAGGCTGGCGTGAGAGCTGTTTGTTTGGCCCCGTGGGATTAGGAATGTTGACTGACCTAATACCACGGGGAGGTAATACCTGTGAATGCGGATAACCCATGGGAATTGTCAGTAGGTGACCATTCCCTTTGCTAAGCAGGATGTCACCGGAGCCAGCACAAAAGTGAGCGTGGCACGTGACCATCCTCGTCTACAAAGGAAGGTGTACTTTGAATAAGTATGAGAGTGAGCATTGTTATCTTAATCGTCTATTAAGGAAATCAGGCATGGTAGGCATGCAGGGAAAAAGTGACAGCTGAGTTCTGACCCCGTGTCTAGGACTTACGGTTGTAGTGGATGTTGCAAAGACAAACAGCATTCTTGAGCTGTAATCGATCGGACGAGACAGAAGGAGATACAGGACTCTAGAAAAGAAATGTTTGTGAACATTACACTTACTCTGTTAAGGGTGATGGAAAAATTCGGGAATGGGTAATGGGGAGGGTGTGAACATATTTAACGTCACTGAACTGTACATGTGAAGATCGTTGAAATGGCAAGTCTTTTGTTACCAATGCATTTATCACAATAAAAATCATAGTAACAATAATAAAGTTATATTTATATTTTAATGTAGTGATAGCTTACCAGAACAGTAGACCTGTTTTACTGTCCATAGACAAAGTCATTAGACATGCCAAATGTAGTCCTGAAGGATTATGGGTCAATGACACTTTTGCTGTTCCCTTTAAGGTATGCTTGATCTTTTCTTAGGAGCCCTGGTGGCACAACAGTTAAGCTCTCAGCTGCTAACCCGTCCAAAAGACCTGGCGATCTGCTTCCATGAAAATTAGAGCCAAGAAAACCCTATGGGGCAGTTCTGCTCTGTCACATGGGGTCTCTAAGAGTTAAAACTGACGTGATGGTACCTAACAACAACAATCTTCTCTCGAGTTCCTTCACAGCTAACGAGGACAATAAATACAATAAATGCAGGCCTCAGTCTCCTTAATCAATCTCTGATTACTTAAAATTCCATTTAGGAAATTAATACACACCGTTGCTATAAAGTACACTGAATACTCCACAATGGAGTATTCTGCATTTCAGTACACAGGACCTTGTGGTTAGTAGCACATTTCAACCTCCAGACTCAGGGCTGGCTGCCCCCTCCCAGAGGCATGCAAGATAAATCAATCATAGCGGAGGAGATGTGGGTGAGCCTTCAGAGGGAAATGGAGGAAGGTAGAACTTGGCATGGAGTACTCTTTTAGGATTTCCTTCTTGGAATCTTTTTTTTTTTTTCTCTCTCTCTTTTAACTGCTTCTAAGACTTTCTATGTGGTTGGTTCAGTTAGACACTTCAGGAACTACCTCTTGCTTGGACAAAGGTGCCCCTGCCCTTAAGAGTCGGACCAGGTGGGAGTCCAGGAGAAAGGAAGGTACGCAGTTAAGTGGCTCGGCTAGGCTGCCAGAGCCAGCAGTTCTGCTCTAAACCAGGAAACATTATTTTCTTGGATTTGTCTTTCCACGATTCTCCTCACCATCAAATCTCCAGGGCCAAAAAAGGGCGTAGGGCCTCTTGGGCCATTTGACCTACTTTTGGTCAGGCCAGGAATAACGAAAAGTTGGCATGCATGCCTCCACTCCCTCACTGTGCGTATGCCAAGAATCATTAGCAGATTACCCTATTCTCTCTTATTTGGGCCCAGATAGAGTCTTCTCATTAGAGCAAGTCCTGACCAATCAGACTTGGCACATTAGATAAAACCAACTTGCGTTTTTGGGTCTTAGTTTTAGGTTTGAAGAGCAAAAGGAATTCTCGTGGCCCATATCTGAAGCAGCCCTGGTCACCAGGGTGAGTGACTACTTAGGGGTCTGGGGCCAAAGTCCTAGCTAATAAAACAGTTTTCCTTTGCTTGGGGTGTACTCTCTGCTAAAGGTGTTCTGGGGGCCCTCAGCAGTAGTGGCAGCTTGTTGAGGGTTCAGAAATCCTGGATCTTGGCGGTCTCTTACTTTTTCCATTGAAGATATTTATACTGATAGCCATATATCAATGAATCAATTCTTCTCAGAGACTCTGACCCAAGCTATATCAAGTCTTCAAAACCAACCTGATGAATTTATTAATTCATTATTAAGATACCTACTGAGCATCAAGTTATAGGCAAATACAAGGAAAGGAAAAGAATACCTTCGAAGTGCTTCATCTTCTTGAAGTTCAAAAAATTCTGAAGGTTTCTTTGAAAAAGTAAAAAAACAGAGTCAAAAATTAAAAGTTTGTGACTATTATCGGCTTATGAAAAGCTATTAGATGAAAAATCCAATGTGTAAAAATTATGTTTATGAGGAAGAAATTATAATGTAATTAATTACTTTATGAAAAGATTTTTTTTTTTTTTGCTTAAGATGTGTTTAATCACATTCATTGGCTTAAAAAATATTTATTAAGCACTTACTGTGTACCAGGCAAAATTCTAGGCACATGGGTTGCCTGAGTGAACAAAACAAATATTCCTCTACTCATGGAGCTTACTTTCACTGAATGATTTTTCAGAGGAAAGGACTCCAAGAATTTGAAATGAGTCATTCACTAATTCAGTATACAGTAACTGAAAGTTATTAAAGTACTGTGCTATATACAGACTAAACCTCAGGGAAGTTTTAGTTTAGTACTCAAAGTTTATGGATAAGTTACAGCATCTATAAATGCTGGTTTCTAAGAACAAGCCACATATTCTATGTGGCCCAGATATGCTTCTAACTTCTCTGTCTTCACTAAAGCAGTCTTTGCTCTTAGTAAGTACTTAAAAACACTTGTAGAATTGAATGCCAGGTGATAAAAGTACTCAATAAAAACCTAATGTCATGTTAGTTATACCATTTCTTTAAAAACAGATTTTTTTCCGAAGACGTCTGCCTAGGTGGTTATAAGAAATATAGGAACTACCAACGAAGTTCTACATGAAAACTTGTAAGAAACAGTGCAGAAAATTCTGTATTTGGATTGTTGAATCCTATTACAAATTTTTGATGTTAATGATACTTTAAAAAAAAAACTGACATTATGTGCCCCTTGATGTGATATGCTGAAAAGAACACATCATCTATGCTACATTCTGGCCAAAAATATATACTCTGAGTTGAATCACAGGAAACATCAGCAAACTCAAAATTCAGCATTTCACAAACAACTGGCCTGTATCCTTCATCCCAACACAGTTAAATAGATTCAAATAAAAATTATTAATCAACAGTAAATGGGGTGGGAAGGGGAGTTTTGAAGAGGAACAGGATATTACTCCCCTAATCAATTACAAAAGGAAAAATCATAAGTTTGTAGTAGAGATATGGACAATACCTTAACCCAAGTTATCTAAATCAGTATCACCCATTAGAAGCACTGGCGGTGCGGTGGTTAAGAGCTACAGCTGCTAAACAAAAAGGTCAGCAGTTCAAATCCACAAGCCACTCCTTGGAAACCCTACGGGGTAGTTCTACTCGGTCCTATAGGGTCACTATGAGTCATAATTGACTCAATGGCAATGGGTATTAGGGGCGAACGACCATCATGTGCCTCCAAATGTCATAACCGAGGATGCAGTATCATGTCCAATTCTAGCCCAAAATCGTTAATTTGAACGTTATCTACAGGAAGCATCAGGCAAACCCAAACTGCAGGGCAGTTTATAAAATAATTGGCCTGTACACTTAAAAATGCCAATGTTGTGAAAGACAGGAAAAGCTGAGGAACTGTTTTAGACGAGAAGAAATTACACGCACGGCAAATCAATGCAACATTTAATCCTGGACTTAATCCTGGACCCAGGTGAAAAAATCTCCAGGAAGTACATTGTTAGGACAAATGGTTAAAATGTAACATAGACTATAGATTCAAGTATTGAATTAATATTAAATTCCTGATTTTGATAACTATACTGTGGTTAAGTAAGAGAAAGTCCTCGTTCTTAGGAAATACACACTTAAATATTAAGGGGACAGGGTCACAATGCATGCAATTTGCTCCCAGATGGTTCAGAAGAAAATTATGAGTAGCTATATTACAGTAGTCTCCGACTTATGACGTATTCAAGTTACAACGAAACACACTCATGACTGTCCGTTTTGGGGTTTTTTTTTGGTACATCTTATCGTTAGTAATACGTACTACATACAATGTTGCAGCACATAATTTGCTGTTATCATTCTCATGCCAATCGCCAAAGACAAATAAAGACTGATTTATAAAGATACCGATAATAAAAGGTAATAATTAAAAAAAAAATGAAGTATTCGACTTATGTCAGAACCGGTTTATAACGGAGTCATCGGAACGGAACCCTGTCACAAGTCGGGGACTATCTGTATAGAGAGAGTGACAAGCAAGTATGGCAAATGTTACATATTGGTGATTCTGGGTAAAGGGTATACAGGAGTTCTTTTACAAACTCTTGCAACTTTTTGGTAAGTTAATGAAAAGAAAAAAAGAAGAATCTCACTAAAACTCATCAGATAACAGAGGCACTAAGGTGAATAAAATGCCTTCTTTAAAGACTCTGTGTGCTAATTAAAGGGTGTATTTAAGCCCTGCTGGTGCAGTGGTTAAAGCGCTCGTCTGCTAACTGAAAGGTCAGCAGTGCTAACCCACCAGCTGCTCCATGGGAGAAAGATGTGGCAGTCTGCTTCCATAAAGAGTTACAGGTTTGGAAACCCTCTGGGACAGTTCTACTCTGTCCTGTAGGGTCACTGAGTCCAAATCGACTCAAGGGCAATGGATTGGGTTTTATTTAACTTCTGAGAAGGGCATCACCTCACCCTCAGTAGACGCCCTCAGGCAGAGAGTACTTACTTCACCAGGTTTTGACGTAGGGCACAGCCAGTTTTCCAACAACATGTCCCAGACTTTTTCCAAGTTCAGTTCATTGACTTCAGCTATTTCTTTAGCTGCTGCATGAATATCTAAGATAGTCAAGGCAAAGAATTAAAAAAAGAAAAATGAAAGTTTTCAGTCTAAGATAGCAGGGAATCCTAATGATAGATTTCCTTTGACAAAAATAAGAGTTTCGCCCTCACCGGGGTAATCCCTGCCTGATGAGTTCTGAATCCTCTGACTTATGCTGGGGTGCTCGTACAGACTGACGATGAGGTGGGCTGGCTTCCCGATCGCGCGCAAATACTCGGCGGTGTTCAGCTTGTGGGCGATCAGCACGGCTTCGGTGCCCGACCGCCGGTACTGAATATGAAGCTTCTTCAGCAGAGCCTCGGCTTTGTCACGCGTTTCATCCTTTTAAAAAAATTCCAAACCAAAAGAAAACCTTATTTTCTGAGTCTCAGCTGAGGCTAAGAATCCATGTTGAGGAATGAAGTTCCCTCCCTACTTCTTCTTATACACCAAGCCTCAGCTTTCTTTGTCTCCACCAGGCAAGCAGCCCTTTAAAAGGCCGATCATCAGGACAGGATGAAAACATGTGTGAGGCAAACACAGTTTAAAGGAAGAAGCCAGAAGAAAGGAGCCCTCCCTCTTCTAGCCCAGACATACCTGAGCTGGGATATTCTGTAGCCATCTCTCAGCTAAATAAAGGCAGAATTTCAAACTAGACATTTTGAAGGAACCTAAAATAAATAAAGATTCAAAAGCAAATCTTAATCCTTTCAAGATAATATATTTTAGTCAAATTAGCAAGTTTATTTTTAAATCATAAAAATATATACTCATAGTATAAAACACTATAAACAGTACAGAATATAAAGGAGAAAAACCTCACAGCGGCCCCCTCCTCAGCCTCCATTCCTAACCCTTAGATTCCTATGTTCCTCCCAGAACTTTTCTACGTGTCTGTTTGTGTGGACACATATTTGCATGTGCATTTAAAAAAAGATTATTGTGGTAAAATACAAACAAGAAAAAATTTGCCATTTTAATCATTTTTAAGTGAACAATTCAGCGACATCAATTACATTTACCATGTTGTGTAACCACCCCCACTCTCCATTTCCTAAAGGTTTTCATCACCCCAAACAGCAACTCTGTACCCCTTAAATAATACTTCCCCATTTCCGCCTCCCTCCTGCCCCTGGTAACCACCAATAAACTCTGATCTCTATACACTTGCCTATTCTATGTATTTCATATAAGAGGGAATCACACAATATTTATCCTTTTGTGACAGACTTATTTTACTCAGCATAATATTTTGAAGGTTCACTCATCTAATGGCATGTTTCAGAACTTCATTTTCTCTGCAGCTGAATAATTATTCACTGTGTGGATAGACCATTTTTGTTTATCCACTCATCTGATGATGGACACTTGGCTTGTTTCTACCTTTGGCCACTGTGACTAGTGCTGCAGTGAACACTGGTGTACAAGTGTCTGAGTCTCTGCTTTCGTTTCTGCTGGGTATACATCTAGGAGCAGAATTGCTGGATCATGGTAACTCTGTGTTTAACTTTTTGAGGAACCACCAAATTATTTGGTGCACAATTTTACATTTCCACCAGCAATGGACAAGGATTCCAACTTCTCCACATCTTCACCAACACTTGCTATTTTCTGTTTTTTGGATCATAGCCATCCTAGTGAGTGTGAGCTGGTATCATTGTGGTTTTGATTTTGTGCGTGCATTTTAACCCCAAAGGGATAATAGCATACACACTGTTGTGCAACTTGCTGTTCTCACATCATATATTTCTTGGATCTCTTTCAAAATCAACTACATGGTATTCCAGTCTATGAATATGCCCTCTTTTTTTAAACCGGTTCCTGACCGACAAATAGCTTTTTAAATAGCTGTTTTCAACTTTTGTTAAAATAAAAAATATGGCAACAAATGCCTGGATTTGTGCACTTGTTTGATTATGTGAGAATACCTAAGGATTCATTATTCAAAGTGTCATAAGTGCATATTAGGAAATATGTATCCATTTATATTCCCACCAACAGCCTGTAGCCCTAGCACAAACGGCGGGAGTCTTATTTCGTTTGAGCCTTTTTAACCTTCAGCAAGGCCACAAGTGAACGGAGAAGACAAACTCATTTTAATCCTGTTGTACTGCTTTTCCTTAGATATGCAGAAACCAGCTGCCGTCATGTTGACTTCGACTCGTGACAACCCCATGTGTGTCAAAGTAGAACTGTGCTCCATGGGGCTTTCGAAGGCTGAGTTTTGGGAAGTAGACTGCCAGGTCTTTGTTCTGAGGCACCTCTGGGTAGACTCAAATGGCCAACCTTTGGTTAGCAACCAAGAGCTTAACTGTTTGCATCACCCAGGGAGTCTGGTACACTTTTTTACTACCATTTTAAAATACAAAACAAAACAACCAGCCATTTTGAGCGCATTAAAGGGAGAATCCATACCTTCTGGAATGTCCTGGGCAATACTGATGGCAATAGCGACTGCCCACTCAGGATTAACTATAGACAATAAGTAGGACTCGATGGTTTGAGTGATCTTGGTTACCTCCTTGGTCATCAGAGTTGAGGACTTAGCTTGTGATAACTTCAGGAGCTTCGGCTTCAGTTTTTTCTCAAAAACATGTTTGGCTGTGGACACGTACAGAGTGTCCAAAGAAAACTTTCAAGAGAAGAAAAGGTAAGGCTGATTTATAAGGGTTTTACGTGAAAGCAGCATAAAGTTTTTCTACACAGGGTCAGAATTAATTATAAGACAAAGATAGGCCGTACCAAGTTTTAACCCTAAATTACCTTCATTAACTTAGAAATTAAGAGCAATGTTGGGAATGATTCTTCACTGAGTTCTGTAGCTAGAAAGGAAACAAGGAGAGTATGATTTGCTTAAGAAAAAAAAAAATTGTCTTGACTATTCAATAAAATTCGTAAGAAGGTAATGAACATACAGAGAATTTTCCAGAAGTTCTGTGCTGTGCCAAAGAATATTAAGTGAAAAGGCAGTCTGTTTTGGGCAGCTGATGGCAAAGTTATTACATGCTCCAACATATACTGATATTCTAGGTCCACTGGAGGAGAAATTCTTCTGTATGACTTCAAATGTTTCAGAAGGCTCAATGCCTGGATTAAAACAAAAAGAATTTTCCTGTGAGATTAACCCATATTGTAACTATTTTGAAGCCCTGGTGGCGTAGTAGTTAAGAGTTCAGCTGCTAACCAAAAGGTCAGCAGTTCAAATCTACCAGCAGCTCCTTAGAGACCCTACGGGGCAGTTCTACTCTGTCCTAAAACTATCTAACTGCACACCATCACAGGATGCCATTCCTGAGGCAGTCTGGTTTTCATTAAAAATGTTCAGAATCTTTTCCAGTTTTCCCTTTAATGTTATTCTTCTAAATCGTAATTTATATGATCATAAAGAAATCATACTAGGCGGAACCAACAATGCTGTCCTGTTGTTGGTGGGATGTTTGGTAAAGAGTTTGGTAGTTTTCTGTGCTTTTCGTATAGTTTAAGACCTACCTCAAAAAGACTTGATTTCATTTTAAAATTAACTCTCTAGACACCCTAACTCTCTTGTTTGTATTTTATATTTTGGGGCTTGTCTAACCTTTTGAAGCAATCCATGTTCTTTAAATATTTTATTGTGTTTTTGGTGAAAGTTTACGCAGCAAATTAAATAGGTTCCCACTGAACAATTTCTATACATATTGTTTGGTGACATTGGCCACATTTTCTACATTGTGTTAACAGTCTCATTATTTCCATTCCAGTTGTTCCATTTCCATTAATCTAGCTTCCCTGCACCCCTGGCTTTCTCATCTTTGCTTTAGGGTAAATTTTGACCGTTTGGGCTCATATAGATTTTTCTTTTTCTAAAGGAAAAAGTCAATCTGTTATTTAGCTGAAAGGTGTCCTCCAGGAGTGGTTTCAGTCCAAAGTTTAAAGGGTATCTCAGGGTGATAGTCTTGGGGATTCCTCATCTGAGTTTTGTTCTACAATTTTCTCCTATTCTATCCAGGAACATCTATTGTGTCCCTGGTCAGAACGCTTGGTAGTGGTAACCATGCACCAACTAGTTCTTCTAGTCTTAGGAGAGATGAGGCTAAGGTTCGTGTAGGCACTCAGTTCTGTAGACTAGCTTCTTCTTTCAGTCTTTGGTTTCCTTCTTTTTCTTTTGCTCCAGACAAGTGGAGACCAACAGTTGTATCTTAGATGGCTACTTGCAAGTTTTTAAGACCCCAGATGTTACTTACCAAACTAGGATGTAGAACACAAACTTTATAAACTATTTTGTGTCAACCAGGCATAACAAAGCTTATTAAGAAAATGTTCTGCATCCCAATTTGGTGAGTGGCATCTGGGGTCTTAAAAGCTTGCCAGCGGCCATCTAAGATGCATCAATTGGTCCCAACCACCTTGAGTAAAGGAGAATGAAGAACACCAAAGACACAAGGAAAGTATCAGCCCAAGAGACAGAAAGGGCCACATAAACCAGAGACTTCATCAGCCTGAGACCAGAGGAACTAGATGGTGCCCGGCTACAACCAATGACGGCCCTGACAGGGAACACAACAGAGAGTCCTATATGGAGCAGGAGAAGGATGGGGTGCAGAACTCAAATTCTAGTAAGAAGACCAGACTTAATGGTCTGACTGAGACTGGAGGAACCCTGGACAGCACGGCCCCTGGATTCTCTATCAGCCCAGAATTAAAACAATTTCCAAGGCCAACTCTTTGGACAGGGATTGGACTGGACTGTGGGACATAAAGTGATACTTGTGAGGAGTGTGCCTCTTAGCTCAAGTAGATACAAGAGACTAAACGAGCAGCTTCTGTCTGGAGGTGAGATGGGAACGCAGAGAGGATTAGGAGCTGGCTGAATGGACATGGGGAATTGGGTGGAATGGAGGAGTGTGCTGTCATAGCATGGGGAGAGTAATTAGGGTCACATAACAATGTATGTATAAATTTTTGTATGGTAAGCTAACTTGAAATGTAAACTTCATTTAAACTACAACAATAAAAAAAATTAAAAAAAAAAAAAAAAAAAAAAAAACTACGTTACTGAGTTGTCCCACGACACTATGGTCCTAAGCCTTCAAACCCATTAAACCAATCCTGTGAGGTGTTTGGTTATGTCTGGGAAGTATCTGTGACTGTGCCCCTATGTGCTTTATTTTATATATATAAATATATATACAGATGCACACAAACATGAATATGCCTACAGATACACCTATACATGCATACCCATATACTCACGTGTGCCTTCTTATACACATATATGCTTACATATCTACCCAAGTAAACCCTCACATATTTTTTGGTTGTTACTGCTATTGTTTCAGAACTGCATATGTCATAGCATTTACCAGTAACATCCCTTATTCTTGTGAACTTCTTAAGGTCATCATTAGCTTTGGCCAAGTAGTACACACTTCACCCATTTTCTTTTAATTTTTAAAATACAGTAAGAAAGGGATATAAAAGCTACTTTGACCAAAATTCAGAAATGATGAAGAAGTTACTAAAAGTTCTGAGATAGGACTGACTGAGTCCTGGACCTGCCCGTTAATACACAAAGTAGAATCTACCTCTGGTCCCCACGTATTTTTTTTTCTTTTTCTTTTTTTTGACCCATTGGCAAATAGTTTTGCCTTAATTCCTCCAAATCAATCTCTTAAAGACGTCATACTCTCAGACAGCAAATTTAAATCACACCAATACAGCAAAATTGGACTTACGATCAATGATACAACATGGATATCTTTTTACTTGTGCATCCTTTTTAAAGAAAAGGCATCAAGAATACAGCGTGGAGTTTGAAGGGAGCTCAAATCATAGTACAGAAAGACACTGGATAACTGTAACTTTTATGATCCATGTAAGAGCATAAAGACGATTCTTTAATTTTTAATGTATTTCTTATACCTGATTAATATTAATGTTGGTTATCTTCTCATCGGCTCTTTCTATAACTTTCAGGACAACCTCAATCATTTCATAGTCATAAGGGTCCAACTGTATAAAAACAAAAATATTTCAAAACTTGGGAAAAATATTTCCATGACGGTAGATGGTTTTATTCAGTTATGTTCATGAGTACAGATTACAAATATAAGATCTCAATGCACTGTGATATTAGATTATTTTTTAAAAATGAACTAAAATTTTCTTCTAAATTAGTTCTATCAGGATAAAGATACATGCTTAAAAATTTCTCAAAGGGTATAAAAAAAGCTGCACAAGGCAATGTTGTTTTAATAAAGAAAGATGTCCTCAGAGTACTTGTTGCTGTATGTCATCAAGTCAATTCTGACTCACAGCAACCCTACTGGACAGAGCAGAACTGACCCAGAGGGTTTCCTAGGCTGTAATCGTTATGGGAGCAGGTTGCCACATCTTTTCTCCCGCTGCTGGGTTCGAATTGCCAACCTCTCAGTTAGCAGCCAAGGGCTTAATGAGGGCTCCTTCTTAGGGTACTAAAAACTTGAAAATAATAAACACGATCAAAACTTAATAATTTTATAAGATTTTTCTTAAAATTCTATTTCTTCCATTTATAATGGGAAAATTAGAAAAGGAGGGAGCTGACATTTCCTTGGAAACGGTACAGCTAAAATTGTGGGCTTCCAAGCAAAAATTCCTCACAGGTTTTCATGCTAGCTCTAACCGTATGTTACAATAGAAGAATTAATTGGGTGGCATTTATGTATACTTATAAAAAGAAAGGAAGCATTCACTGTGTTCTTTACTTCTGCCCATATACCATCACCCTTTCTACTTCTACGCCAACCAGAGTCACATGAATAACTACACTGAACAAAGGGAAAGATGACCTGTAGAACCTGGAAATTCTCAACAAGTCTATACGATTTATGGCCGAGTTACAGGCAAAATATAAAACCAAAGTATTTCTTATAGTCTTCTAATCTTATCTGCAGCAACCATTTGTAATATTTAAAAATTGGAAATAATCACCCATCAGTAAGGGGCTGGTTAAACAACTTATCCTTACAAAGGACTATCACAGAACCAGTCAATATGAGGAAGATCTATACGGACTAACGACAAAAGACATATTGCTGATTAATTCACAACCAACCAAACAACCCTTAATCCTAAAAATACCAATTCTTTGAAGTTTCTTTTATTTAAAAAAAAAAAAAGATCATACAAGGGTATAAGAATCTATGAACAAAGATGTTCACTTTAAAACCTTAGAATAATGAAATTTACAAAAACTTAAGTGTCTGTCCATAAAGAGCCAGTTAAATACAGAACGTCTCATGCAGATGTGAACAAACACACATCTGTTAAAATGAGACAGACGTGTATGTGCTGACGTGTAATGACACCCACAGAATAGCATGTTTAGTCTAGGATCTCCACCGAATTACTGACGTTTGTATCTCTGGGGAGTGGGAATATAGGAAATTTTTACTTTTTGATTTATATACCTTTCTAGCTTGATCCTTTTTCAAAGAATGGGTGCTATTTCTAGAAATCAAGAAAAGAGCAGGGGGGCTATTTTTACTCTGGGAGGAAACAAAGCAAGACGGGAAACTTAGTGCATTAAAAATACAGAAGTCTAAAATAATTTCAGAATTAAAGTTATAAAAAATACAGGAGTTAGGTTTTCAGTACGTTAGCACATGTATCTAATTCAGCGTGGGAGGGATGTTTAAAATGACTGATGAGCTCATTTACCATTCACCTACCTTGTGCAGGATTCCACTAAGGCTGATGACCAAATCTTTCGTGCTCGTCAGTAAAGGGACCATCTCGACGGCTTTGGCCAGGAGTTTGGGGTGCTGCTGCTTTGTGAACTCCGCAGCCGCGTCTCCCTGGCCTTGGCTGACAGTAGCTGGGTGCAGCAGCGTCTCGATGAACAGCTTGAGAGCTGCATCACAGTCCAACTGGAAGGTACTACAGGAAGTCTCCAATCACACACACCTCCCCACACGTGCACGTTCGTGAACAAAGTGTCCCATGCTTTGGGCACATGCTCCTATCCCTGAAAGTTAACCTCTTCGTCCGCTCTCATAACTTGCCTGTCATTAGACCTAATTATTAACTTTTAAAAATCAGATATTATTCTCGATAAATGTATAAACTGGTTCTATATTGGAGGGAAATTGGTACTAAACTAATAAATATTTGTGCCTTTTGGTATAGCAATTCCACTTTCAGGAATTTCACAAAAGTAGACTAAGACACACGGACGTCCACTGCAGCAACCATTTGTGATATAAAGAAAACGTTAAAGTACAACCATTCTGAAGCCATTCTCTGATATTCTAAAGGTCATCAAAATGAATTGCAAAGGAGGGGCCCAGGAACGTGTATTTTTAATCGAATGCCCTAGGTGATGCTAATAATCAGGCAAGTTTGGGAAACACTAAATAGTAAATAAAAAGGGTGGTATCATAAGACAGTTAATAGGGCTTTGAAGTTACTCAGTTTGGAGGTGAGCAAAAGAAAACTTCAGAGGCCTACAGAGCCACATGGAAAAATCATTTTTATTATGGTGTTCCTGCTGTAAGGACTACCACTTTGTTAAGCTAATAATAAACATACCACTGAAGTTTCAAGAATTACCTGCAATATTCCAGAATGAGGCTTGTGTCCATATCTATATTCTCCACAAGAGCTTTAATGAGGTCTTTCTTGGTTAGAAAATGTTGCCTGAAAGCTGCTTGAAAAGAAATCTACAAAAAGAGCGCAAAAGGAAAAAAAAAAAAACCCCACAAATAACCTATTAAACTGAAATGTATGAGAATAAAGACACCATTGTGACTTGTCTTTCACTACTATCTTTTTTTTTTTTTTTAAATAAAGAAACAACATTTTTCTGAAGCTTATCCAACTTTAATCCCACCACACTACCCAACTCAACCAACATTCTGAGATTTCAAGAATACGTGGTTGTGGGTCAAAAAATCCCTCTTATCCACCCCCAGCCCTTGCCTCTTCATCTGTAAAGCATTACTGTTAGTGAGAGTGGGACACCTGTCCCACTACTGCCCAGGAACCAGGCTTCAAAGCACACACCATTTCCACAATGGTTACGTTCCTGATAAGTCAACTTTTACCTTCACAATAAGAGCCAGAGAAGACAGAGGGGTTTTTTTGAATTGTTTTTTTGCAAAGTGAAAAATAAAAATCATTCGCTTTTCCATAATGGAAGATTTTAAAGGTTGGTATACCTGTCTAAATGCTTTAATATTATCTCTAGCCCAATAATAGTAGCAGAAAACAACAGTGTGAGGCTAAAGGCTAGGCCTGAAATAGCATAAATGTCAATTAACACTCTATATGTATCTGCCACCCATTTGTCCGCGTGTCATACTGTGGAAATTTGTGTGTTGCTATGATGCTAGAAACTATGCCAGCGGTATTTCAAATACCAGCAGAGTCACCCATGGTAGGGGGGAAAGAAAACATGAACAATATAGGCCGAATGTTTTCAAATGGCTTTCAGCAGAGCATCCAGATTAAGGCAGACTAGGAAGAAAGGCCTGGTGATCTACTTCCAAAAATTAGCTAATTAGCTAATGAAAATCCTATGGATCAAAACAGAACACTGTCTGATACAGTGCTGGAAGATGAGTCCCCTAAGTTAGAAAGCACTCAAAATACACTGACTACAACAATGGACTCAAACATACCAACAATCATGAAGATGGCACAGGATCGGGCAACATTTTGTTCTGCTGAACATCGGGACACCACGAATCGGAGCTGACTCAGCAGCAACTAACAACATACATATGTATATGTATGTGTGTGTGTGTGTGTGTGTGTGTGTGTGTGTGTGTGTGTGTGTGTGTGTGT